GTGATTTAACCCCAATTTTCGAAGGGAAGGGTAAACTAAACCAATACCCAAGCAACACAAGTGCATTGGCTCTGACGTCATGGGCGTCGCCATTCTGTGTCTGGAGGTCATGAGAGGTCAGAATGGAATATCCCAAAGTCTGGAAACACATCGCCGTGTCATCCGCTGGGAGACATTCGCCAATTCATTATCTCCGTCTTCCTTTTTCCTTACATAACCATCCAGATCTCAATTTATCCTGAATAATGCAAAACCCAGGTATTCCCAACTCCAAAATCCCCAACAAACATAAGACCCAAAATATATCTAACAGCCCCCGTAAAATGTCCAGATAATCCTATTCTGCCAAGAATATTATTATATAATTAATTATAAATTAATCCATCGCTGAAATATATTTTGTCCTCAGGAAGTTCTCGTAAGGATTATTTCAATATGGATACACCGTGCTATTTTCAAGTCCTACGGTTATCCGTTTTTCATGGAATATCCTTGATTTATAAAGGGATTAATCGCAGCTGTTGGATAATTGGACGTGAAAAGCGATAAATGGAGATGGAAAACAAATGCTCGGGGATGTGTCCGGGTGTCTGTCACTTTAGAGAAATATTCGGTGGACTCAGTCACTGTGGATGACGTTAATTCCATTCCGACGGTGGCTTTCTCACTCGGGACACGAGTCGATTCAAGCGCATTTTATCGCCGGAAATGGAATTAACGTCTGGAATTTTTCTATCAATCAAAAAAAAAAAAATCGGGTCAACATGAGAAATTGAATGAGTAATTGAATGATGAGTCACGAGATGATTCAAGAGTTCGGAGTCCGAAGTCAGACTTGAGTCATGTAAAATTCCACTACAATCCGTTTTTTTTCCTTCTCTTTGGGAGTGGAAGTAGTCATAATGACAAACCCCGGTTATTTATTCGAATGTCGATACCAGAAAGCTGATGTTAAGGAAAAACTCCAGCACCTTGATTTTTCCAAGCGGATGTAATCCCCTGGAAATATTCCATTTGGTCTTTGGGTTTCGTTGGGTTGTGCTCCCGTTTATCAAACAAAAACCTAATACAACCCTCTGTACCCTCGGGCCGAACAAAGAAACTCAGCGGTCCTTTTATTTCCGCTATTCTCTCAAAATGGAGGAGCAAAAGTGGAGGGAAAATTCCCTCTGAATTCCAGCCGAGGCCGCAGTTAATGCAAAAAAAAAACAACTAGAGGCAGCCACAGCTGCAGCCGCTTTGTCACCATTTCCATGTTTTTCAGACGTTTTAATTTAACCGTTATCGTCGCGATGTGCGTAAATCGGAGAAACGCCGGAATAAGAGTGTTCTCTTTATTGTTATCTTCGAGATGATGAATAGCAAGTGGGTCGTCCAAGAAAATGTGCATACCCCGTAAAGTTTATGACGGGTTATCTGCCGTATTCTTCTCATGATTTCTGCATCGCATTGCGCATTCTGATGTGGTAAAACATGCTTGAGGTAGAATGAATTCCCGGAATTGCCGCACTGATTTAAGATTTCGGTTGATTCCTGTAATTAATTGAGTTGAACCTTTTTGCAAATGCACACTCACTGCGATTGACTGTCAATATTTTATGTCAATCCCATATATTTTTTTTGCAGGTGAAAAAAACATAATGGTTTCGCAAATATTCGGTAATAATTACGGATCATTGATTTGTCTGTACAAAATCATTGGCTCTATCATTTTTTTTTTACAATTCAATTATCATTTTTATGGAATCCCTGAAGAAATAAATCACAAAAAATAGCGCAACGTCAATTTTCCTATGGTTTATTAAAATGCGTGGTTTTTTCGTGATCTATTTCTTCTGCCTACGATTTTAGAATGAATTAAATTAAATGATAGTAATTCTTCTATTAATGTGAGCGTCGGGTTTAATCGCTGATCTGTTTCAACTCAATTACTCACTTTCGATTTTTTTTGGTGATATTTACGATAGAGTTCTTGAAAGTTATCGATTTTGATTACTCTGAAAGATCGAGGAATGGGGCAATCGGAAATTCCATATTTTACGGTAATTTCCAAAAATCGAAAGCTAATTAGAGATTTATCGAAGCTGATTATTAAGTAATTTTTATATATATTTTCATTGTTCTGTACTGATTGCAGAATTAGTGATAATTATTCTGATGATTTATTATAATTATTGAAAACAATATTGAATAATAATAGTGCAGATCTTTCAGATTGAATTTTTCAGACTTTAACTTA